ATAATTTTATCAAAAAAATGTAAAACTAGGAAGTTAAAAATATTGTGATTCCATTTACAATTACAACAATTTCATAGGATAATAACGTTCATATAACGGTATAATAACATTAGGTACAATAGCTATTTATGTAACGTGTTACATACAAGATTTGATTATTTATAAAATTGTGTTTGGCTAAAAAATGATTCACCACCGTTCTTTTATAGGTACTTACCAATGTTTCAGAAATTTGTTGTATTTGATTGCCCTACAACGTTTTTTTTTTTTTCATTAGTAACAATAAAATAAGGGACATGTGCAGTATTGCCGATCTGATTTTTGACATTAATTTAAATAAAAACGTTTTTACCCGTTATACTTAAAAGAAGTACGTTAAAATTTTACCCTAAACATTTCTGGGCAGTTTTCTCAATAACGGTGTTCTATTATTTACAAAATAAAACGCAATGTACAGCTTTTATTTTTTTTGTTGTTAAACGTAATGTGAAATTGTCAAATGTAAAATGTCACTATTCATTACCTTTTTTTCGATTTTTCGATTTTTCGATTTTTCAATTTTTCGATTTTTTCGATTTTTTTCAATTTTTTCGATTTTTTCGATTTTTTCGATTTTTTCGATTTTTTCGATTTTTTTTTCGAATTTTTCGATTTTTTCGATTTTTTCTATATTTTTTATTTTTTTGATTTTTTGGATTTTTTTGGATTTTTTTGGATTTTTTTGGATTTTTTTGGATTTTTTTGGATTTTTTTGGATTTTTTTGGATTTTTTTGGATTTTTTTGGATTTTTTTAAATTTTTTCGATTTCGATTTTTTTTTTCGATTTTTTTCAATTTTTTTAATTTTTTGATTTTTCGATTTTTCGATTTTTTCGATCTCATTCGATCTCTTTCGATTTTTCGATTTTTTCAATTTTTTTAATTTTTTAAATATTTTTGATTTTTCGATTTTTTGATGATTTTTCGATTTTTTCGATCTCTTTCGATTTTTTGATTTTTCGATTTTTCGATTTTTCGATTTTTCGATTTTTCGATTTTTCGATTTTTCGATTTTTCGATTTTTCGATTTTTCGATTTTTCGATATTTCGATTTTTCGATTTTTCGATTTTTCGATTTTTCGATTTTTCGATTTTTCGATTTTTCGATTTTTCGATTTTTCGATTTTTCGATTTTTCGATTTTTCGATTTTTCGATTTTTCGATTTTTCGATTTTTCGATTTTTCGATTTTTCGATTTTTCGATTTTTCGATTTTTCGATTTTTCGATTTTTCGATTTTTCGATTTTTCGATTTTTCGATTTTTCGATTTTTCGATTTTTCGATTTTTCGATTTTTCGATTTTTCGATTTTCCGATTTCTCGATTTTTCGATTTTTTCGATTTTTCGATTTTCCGATTTCTCGATTTTTCGATTTTTCGATTTTTCGATTTTTCGATTTTTCGATTTTTCGATTTTTCGATTTTTCGATTTTTCGATTTTTTGATTATTCGATTTTTCGATATTTTCGATTTTTTTCGATTTTTTCGGTATTTTCGATTTTTTCGATTTAAAAACCAAAAAAAGTAATTTTCAATTATTTTTATTTCGTAACTGGTGATAATCAACTTTTCGTAATCAGTTGCACAATGTTCTACTTTATGGAACTGGTTGCATAAAGTAGATCGTTTTGACTCTTGCTGCGAATACAAAATATTTCACTTTATACAGGGTAGCTGTTAAAGATGGAACCAAACCTATAGTGCTTAAACGGTTTTAACATACAAAACACAAAATTTCAGAATTTCAACTAAATATATGCGCATATTTTAACCCAAAAATTATTTTTTTATAATTACAAAATTTTAAGCATGGCATAGCCGCCATCTTGATTTTTTTAAATAGCAACATAGGTCATGTGATACATCATTTGAAAGGGTTTAACACCCTGATGACAAAAATGTATCACACATGGGATCTTAACACAACAGGAAGGATATTAATTATAGGGAGCATAGGAGGCTGTGCATTTGACACAAGACCCCATAATTTATGTGTTAATTTAAACTTTTATCAAGCGTATGTTTTGTAGACATTTTTAAAAAGTTTTTAGTGTTTTCATAAGCAAGTATTTTGTTCTCTCAATTTTCAACCACATTAAAGATTTTTAATGTTTTAAATTTGTAAACAAACATGGTAAGTGCGTCTGCGATCAACTGTGCTCATAGGCGTAGTCTCATGGTTTATAGGGTATACATACTTTTATTTAAACAATTCTCTTATGCAATTTTAAGATATTTATGTGGTGTTAAAATGAATAAATTATTGTTCAATTTAGATTTATAAATTGATTATAATAATAATTGCAAGTAAACAATTTTCAGATTTCTTAAAGATTCTAGATTTACAAAATATATAAATTAATCCCAGGTAGACAATTTTCAGATTTTCTAAAGATTCTCAAAAAACAAAGTTATGGCTTGAGGTTATGCATCAAACAAATTGTGAGCCAAAATATCTTAATTTTTTGTGTTCACGCTATTTTAAAGCAGATTGTTTTGATCGAACCTCAAAACCAAGAATAAGACTTCTACCAACAGCTGTTCCAACAATAAAAGTGGTCCGGTTGAAGTATATAAGTAAATAAATTCTTTACTAACTATATCATGTGCCGTTTTTTTCGTATAATAGAAGTTTATTGTATGAATGTGATGCACCCTATATAATTTATTACAAAGTTATTTACAAAAACGAACACAAATAGAATTAATAATATCTCAAGTAAGGAAATAAGTAGCATATCGCATGCCTCAAGATACTGTCTTAGGTCCTATCTTGTTTAATTTTATTTTAAATAATTTGTCGTTTAAATACAGATGGAAATATTGTTTTTCAGACGACACAGTTTATTCTGTAAAATGCAGAGAACTGGAATTGATTAAAATTGTTAATAGAAATAGATCTTATAAAAATTTTCGAATGGTTTAATAGGCCTTTTCATCATGTGATGAGTGCAAGCGCAGCAGCCATGTTAAAATGGCGGTAATTCAAAAGTTTCGTACTGTTTTGATCGACAATGGCTGGGAAAGCAATACTATCTCTACAAATAAATCAATTATTAGTAAAAATCGTTGATGGTGTTTAACTTTTTTATAACTTTGTGGAAGCACAAAGTTGTGAGCAAATGAAGAGATGGTTAAAGTGTCTTGGACGTTTGCAACAAGGTAAAAAAGTGTTCTAATTAAGAGGTTAGGTTTATCAATACTTGTTTACTGTGTAAAAAATTAATGAAAACAAATAATAATCATAACTCTATTCTAATTAATTATGATAACCAATATTAGTTCTTCAAAAACACTTTAATCAACATGAAAATTTTTCATGAGTATAATTAATAAAATTAATTATTAATCTCATTATGAAGGTTAATAATAAAAAAAAATGTAAACTTCTCGCAAGAAAATAGCAATTCGTTAAAATGAGAGAAATCGGTAAATTTAGATAATATGAAAATGAGAATTTATTATTTTCTTTTCTACGCCCCTTTATGATAGTACGTCACTGGTAGACCGGAAACACTTGTAGTCATATTCGTCTAGTTCACTGTCAAAATTAGATACCATCGCGATTCCAAGGTCGTTTAGGATTCCTCCTTCCTGACTATATATATTCTAAGATTAAAATGAACATTACATCAATCAAAATAGAAATTAGACGTCCGACCACATACTTTGATTTTCTTTTACTATACGGAGAATGGTCGCACTGCGCAGCTTTCTGAGTGCCTTTTAAAAGGAGATAGAAAACTCCGCCATTTTGAACCATTATTACGTGTTGCCTACATCTTGGCGCAATATTTTTTATAGGTGCGTTTTAATAATCCGCTTCTGCTTCGGAATTGTCAGTTTTCTTGTTTTAATCTGACAGGTTAAAACGACTAAACCGACAATTCAGGAAGCAGAAGCGGATGATTAAAACGCACCTGATATTTTGCTTGCTGCTGTCAGTGTCAGTGAATATTATTTTTGAAGTCACAGTTTATTGCTAAAGAATCAGTTAGCTCACTCGGACCATTTGAAAGTTCCAAAATAACATCCACTCAAGGGATACAAATTCAGGATACGCAGAAGACTGCTGTTTTATTATAGGCGGTTGTCATATATTGTATTATCCGAGTTGCACAGTGTATAAACTGAAACATTGAGATCCAAAGCGCCGACGCAGAGTGAGCGATCTGATTCTTTAGCTGTAAACTGTGTCACAGGGTTCAAAATGGCCGCGCCCTATGTTGGGCGTGTCGGACCTCTCTCTTGCCTCGTATAGTAATCAAAGTATGTGCGTCCGACAGATTTATCAGCTTATGCGGAAAGTAGATTCATATTCACACACGAGTGGAAAGTCCATTTATCTACACGCGTGAGATATAGGGGACTTCCCATGAGACTAAATAGTGCGAAGACTTTCCTAAGTGGTGGTAGAAAATATTCCGATGACTAATAAGTAAATGAGTAAATATATTCTTATTAAACACGTTTATCAGTTTTTATGTTTATATTTCTGTTCACCTAACTTAAACAAATAATAAAGCAAAAATCACAAAGAACTTAAGACTAACATTATAAACTGGTCTTAGTACAGACTACCTACTTATAACTATTATTTAATATACAATATATAGGGTGCTCCAAAATTGCTAGGATATATAGCTTAGACGTATTATAGAACTCAAAATTCCAAAATGTACCGTTTCTCCGTGAGAAGAGTTCAAAGTTTAGTAGCCTATCGGTCACTGAACGTTTTCCAATACACGTTTTTCAATTTAATTTGCACAGGTGCATGTGAAAACTATAAAGAGTTAGCATTATTTCGAGCAGGAAACAAATAATATCAGCGTTGCCAATGACATCGCTAGTATTATTCGTTTCCTGCTCGCTCTAATACTAACTCTCTGTAGTTTTTACACGCACTTATGCAAAGCGTATTGCAAGATGTTCGATAGCCGATATTTATATTTCTTGTTTTAGGAATGGTACCATACTGGATTCCAGTAGTCGGAATTATTGGGGTTATTATATGGAAAATTAGCTCTCTAGCTAGAAGATGGATCAAATTTGCAATTTTCACTCTAGTTTGTTTTGCTACCTCTCTACTAATTCCAATATGGATATTCAGACCCAGAGATACCAGGAACCCATTGTAAGTACAATGAAATAGTCTTAGTATTTTGATTCCTTTCCACCTTCCACATAGTTAAGAAACCATTTTCTATACAAGAAAGAATGTGTTTTTTCTTCCTCACTGAGCCAGATGGCTAATAAACTTGCCAAAGAAAGATCAGAATATCCATTCATTGGATTTGAACCTGTGTAGTGTTTTTTTAGTTTAATATTTATTTCGTTTTAAGTTTTATTTTACATTTCTAGGATATTAGATTTTCCTGATATCCTGCTATAGTTCTCCTTTTCTGGGTAGTTTTGCCTTGATTACATTAGTAATCTAGGTAGCTACTCTTAAGTGTTGGCGCGTAGGACCCATGTGATAGGTTGTGTTCCCAAATTAATAACGCCAATTTTGCTAATTCCAATTTTATATGTAGACTGAGTATTATACATGGGAAAAAGATAAATATTTATTACTTGGATTTTGCACCTTCCCAAATATATCCTTTTCCCATCTGATTGGATAAATATCTCTCCACTTTCAATTTAAACCTCCCCAAATTGGAGGGCCCTATTACTAGATAAAATGGCCAATTAGATAGGAAATGATGTGGTATTTGAAAAGAACATAATAAAAATGGTAGGGAGAACAAAAAGTGGTGGGATCAAGCACCTACTTACACTGCTGTGATGGGTTTGAAATGAGTAAAATATGAGTTTGTCAAGTAATATGTGGACAAAAGCAAAACAAGACCAAACTCATGCATTACTACTGAGATACTACTGCTTGCTAGATCCGAGATATCCAACGACTTCATCGTCATAATAAGCAGTGCGTGAAAGAGCACAATATCTTCTAATTTGAAATAATAGCTATATGGCGACACAACCTTTTCTGTATATAGAAACAGAATAAGTACCACAGGAATACTTGGTAAGCTTCCCATTAAAGTTTTTCAAAGACACATGACTAGGTTGAAATAGTATCTGAACACAGAGGACGATAAGCCAAAGTATTTTGGGCTATATTAGTTTATAATGTATTGCAAATAAATATCCGTTCGACTCTTTAATACAGTTTATTCAAACTCTTCTCACTATAATAATTTCTTCTTTCTCGTAGTTGAAGGTTATACATTTTTAATTTTCGTATTTAACCCTGTCTAGCTCTTATGCTCTAAATGTTTTAGGATACCTTCCATGTACTTCAGAGCCCTTGGTAGGCTTTTTGGTATGGAGTTCTCCATAGAAGGTCAAGAAAATATAGTCCGAAATAGCGGCAGTGTAGTTTTAATCAATCATCAAAGTATACTAGACTTAATAGGTAACTTTTTGAAGCTTAATTATATTAAAATGTAAAAAAATAATGTTGGACATAAAATGAAAATCATTTTTTGTTTTTTTTTTTAGTATTATCTCACTTATGGCCAGCGTTGCCAAAATGTACAGTGATATCTAAAAAAGAAATGCTGTACTATCAACCGATAGGTTTATCATTTTGGCTTTGTGGAGTCATTTTCATAAATAGAACTAAACCTTCAGAAGCCCAAAGTACTGTCAATAAAACTGGAGAGATTATTAGAAAACGGAAGGTAAGTCTACTTTAAATATACAGAATGTTAAAAAATGGCCTGTGAGAAGCAAGTTTTTAGTCAGATATTATTTTAGGCTTTAATTAGATATATGTAAGTAGTATACCTAAGGCGGTACTGGATCACAATGGTAAATTCTCCATTCAGTTCATAAATCAGATGGCTTCGGTCCTGAAGAAGTAGCCGAAGAGGAAGTGATCGACAATGACCGGAAGGTGCGTAATGGAGCTGTACTCACCTCCCTAGGTAGACATGTAAAAGAAGTGTCGCCGAAGGTAGGAAAAGGTCATGAGTACAGGTGTGTCATTTGTCACCTATACAGGTGAGCCTGAAGAGCATCGACAAACATTGTATGAAAGAGAAAGGAGATCAAAGCTGATAAAGACCTGATTAGAAGCTGATCAAGACCTGTTTAAAAAGAGAACACCGGATCAAAAACAAATCGTTGAGATATAAACAAATATAAATCAAAATCTATACTGTTATTGATAAGATCTTGATCTGTTTTTATTCACGTCTTGATTAGCCTTTAATGAGATGTTGATCAGCTTTTAATGAGGTCTTGGTCAGTTTTTAATGAGGTCTTGATCAGCTTTTAATCAGGTTTTATCAACTTTGATCTTCTTTCTTTTTCTAGGCTAGGCAAAGCTCGTCAATTTTCTTTAAGCTCACCTGTATAGATGACAGGTGAAAACCCTGTGGACACCTGTACTTATGACACCTGGCTACCTTTTCCTACCTTCAGCGACACTTCTTTTACCTCTGTCTACCTATGGAGATACAGCTCCGTCACGCACCTTCCGATCATTGTCGATCACTTCTTCTTCGGCTACTTCTTCAGGACCTAAGCCATCCGACTTGAGAACTGGATGGATAGCTTTTCATTGTGATTCAGTGCCGCCTTAGGTATACTATTTATGTATTTACTTGATCTTGAAAATAGTCACCCTTATTGATGTTCTGTGTTCTGCTAGCGCAAGTGAGCTATCGTTTTGTTTTTGTGTATTTAATAAGAATAATCTACTGTGGAATCTTATTTTATCTGTTCTTTTGATTTAAATTTAAATAGAGGAGAGAGGGTGGCTCAGTGATTAGAGCCTGGACTTACGAATCCAAGAATCCGCAGTTTGCCGGGATATTTTATTTAATTTATTTATTTAAAAATAATTCTGATGCATAGGTAGTATTCCCCACTCCAACCATTCACTGTTGGGTTCTAATTAGCAGTGCTATTCCTAAACTGGCACTGGAAAACTGTAACAAGGCCTGTCTGTAAGCGCGCAGGAGTATTAGAGTACTAGCACTAGCACTATGGAATATTAAACTACTAGTACTCCATAACCTAGAACACGAGGCTAATGGCCTAATTTGTCGAAGGTGAAGAATCCCATGAAAAAAATATAAATAAAGGTTATAAATATTAATATGGAGTTTATAATTATTATTTATATGGGGTGATAATTTAAAAACCTACAATGGCCTACATCTCATGACTCGTGTAGTAAAGATATCACACAAGCTAAATCTAATAAAAACAAGTTATTTTGTACTTCTGGGTTAGAAACTTCATCATTTGAAGTGTACAATTCAAATTATTCTGAAAGTCAAACATCACTACATAGGTGTATATTACAAAATATATATTAATAAATTATTTATAAGTAATGTTCTACCTTATTTTGTCTTCTTTTATTTTATTGTATTATCATTGTTTTAATCTATAAGGGGTTTCATCAACAAAGTCAAATATCTCAGATAAGATTGTTTTTATTAAAAAAAAAGTAATTAAAAATAAATCAATGATAAAAAGTGATATAAACAAATAAAATTACACTGAAAAAAACCACAAAGAGGACGAAACCTCCATTCACATTCTGGGTGAATGTGTAGCACTCTAAAATCCAAGGGCTATATTTAAGACTTAATTTATGACTTTATTTAGGAATATATTTAGGACTATATTTGAAGATGAAGGGCATATGTAACATTTTTTTTAATGTTTTGCTGTGAATAAAATATAGAAGTTGCCAGTGGATAAAAGACCCATGTACTAGGGAATAACTACCAAACAATAAACTTTAACACGAAATATCTCGTAAAAATTACTTTTTTACATAGGCCCTTCATCCACTTGTGTCTTCATTTAGGATGATATTTAGTACTATATTTGTGAAAATATTTAGGACTATATTTAGGTGTATATCAAATAGAATAGGGCGAACTACCTAATTTTGAGACACTCCAAATCCTACGATGCCTAGAGAAGATAGGATTGGAAGGCTCGTTATAGGCATCGATACAAGGTCGAAAACAATTTGTCGCTCAAAACTGTAAATGCAACAGTTTGTGGATCAAAAGGAAATAATCAAAAAAAGTGATTGTATATAATTAAGTGGGATTTTTGGCGAAAACTTATAAAATCAATTTTAGGTGATTATCGAAATACGGGTACATTTTTAGCCTAAAATAACATAATCTCTTATTTTTAGGAATTTCATCTAGGATTTTATAGTTGCCGATAAAGTAATTTTTCTGTATACAGGGCGTTCGTAATGATGTTCCAATATTTTAACAGGATCTTCTATCAAGCATAAAATGTTTTATTTGTTTATATTGTAATTTAGTACACATTATCTGCTAGTCAAACCCTATTTTGTGACGGTGTCTTTTCTTTCCCTTTATTTTTCTGAAGGGTAGAGATTAGCAGCCTCTCTTTTTATTTCTTTCAGAACTTTTTTTTAAGTCAATTCCAACAATTTTTTTCAATACTGCACGTAATTTAAAAACTTTCGTCTCTCTCATAATTTTTTCTACATTCAACAGTTTAGTGTACAAAAAATTAAAAATTATTTATCTCAACATTTTATTAAATTTTCGCCGTCGATTACTGCGAAACATATTGAGAAGCTGTTATTTTACACAGTGTTTTGTCAAAAAACCATAACCATCCATTACATTATGTGAAGTACGTGCCTCTATCAAACAGAATCAAAAACAACAAATATTTTTTTCCCGATTTTGAGAAAAAAATATCACCACAGAAACGAACCCAAATTGCAAAGTTTCATAAGAAACCCTTCCCCATTAAATGGTCGGTAGACCACCCTGTTAAAATATTGGTACATCATTAAGGAACACTATAGATTTAATACGGTCAACCCATTGTCCTTTTTCGCCCATACTATTGCGTCGAAACATGCGGGGAGGGGCAACGCCACTGACTGTTTGCAAATATGTACATTTTCTTTCTGACTTGCTATAAACCATTGTATTGCGTTACGTAGTCAAATAATGTATCCATCTACCATCTATATGTATAAAGGATGATTTATAACGAATTGTACACAGAGCAGTGGTAGACTAATGATATTAAAATATGACCACATTCGTAAAATATTAAGAGCAAATCAGACACCTCGACAATTTATAATTCATTCTGAGCCTTTATTTTTAGTCCTCTTTTTGTGAAAATTTCAGAAAATACCAATAATAACAAAACTTAGGGTGGAGAAACCTTGAACTTTTTATAAACCTTCAAAAAGTATATACTTTGAAAAAAATTAAAAAAAAATTTAAAAAAAACGCGCCATTCTGTATTAAATCTATAAAAATTTACTGCTTTTTGTTTTAATAAATATCTAGTAGTTTTTAAATGGAATGCTTTCCCACTTTTTTTCTTAAACGTCTCTGTAGAGTGCTGCCTTATCGTTGCACAAATTTAAAGCTCTCAATATTGTCAAGACACATAATATCACGAAGTATTCCCAATGGCACGAATATAAATTCAATTTTATATTAGAAAATCCTTGAAACATTTTTGCTTTCGCGAGAGATCCGGTTTCCTCTTAATAGATAACAATTTATAGAGTGGTAAACTTGAAATATTTCATTAATTATTTTGGAATATTACAGTACCCGCTTTACTGATATTGATGAGACATTTTGGCAATTTAGTTTGTTGATTTATTATTACGCTGTTAATCATTATTATTATTACACTAAAATAATTAATAAAAATGTTCAACTTTAAATTATTATTAATAATAATAATAATAATAATAATAATAATAATAATAATAATAATGAGTTTATTGCTTTCAATACATACAAATTATTACACAAAATTATATAGATATACATAAATACTGAAAGACAAAAGGCGACGTTCGCACTTACTGGCGAGCTCAAAGATTGAGCCAGCAAATAAGCAGCGCTCTTCCACGCAACCCAGACAATAATTAAGTAATGCATACAGATTTTTTATAGAAAAAAGAAGTGAAATTCTAGCTTTCAATAAGAAAGCATACAAACAATTAATATGGAAACTTAGAAATAATAAAAAAAGGTCAAATTTTAAAAATTCTAGATCTGTGTTGTTATTGTAGTTATTAATCAATAGTGACGAGTAAAAAATTGAAATAACATGAAATAACATGAAATATTATTGTTAAACTAAATTTAATTAACAATTTAAATTAAAAATTGTAAGTGATATCCGTTAAATAAAAGGTTTTTTTCTTTATTAACTATCATCGTCATATTTGGATGTCATTGTAAGAGATTGAAGACTTATTCTCCCACATATTTAAAAATACCTTCGACTGGTAACCGTATGAACCAGTACTGGTTTTTCTTTAGGTGTGTACTAAATAAAATTAACGGCTTTACTTAACAAACTCGTCTATTTTGAAGATTTTGTAAAAACTTTAACATCACTGGACGTATTACACTTTTTTCTATGCTTATTAAAATATTTAATGTAGTAAGTAAAAAAATACAATAATTTTTAACATGGCGTCGGCACGCCGTCGATTTCTAGTCGTCGAACGCTGTTGTTTCTTGCGGTGAGAATAATATTCTCTGGATGACGCCACGCTACGATCCAAACGGCTGGCTGCGCTGATAGAATCAACCAACCATCCGCGAGGCATCGCTCACGTGACAGCGTCCACTACCAATTTGTGGCTGATGCTAAAAATGACGTATAGTCTGTTGCAATTTATAGTAGAAAATCGTCCTGCTTTACACATGAAGGAAGGTTGTGTATTAGCTGGAACAGGGACGGTGCTCCCAAATGGACTTTAAAAATTTATGTTTTCTGTTTGGGAAACAAACATGATAATATTAATTTTTCGTAAGAATGTTTGTCAGATTATATTGTGCATTAAAAAAGGTTAATAACTATGAGGTATCGCAAAAAGATAATTGTTTTTAATCATTAACAATTGTTCAATTTGGATGAGATGTACTCAGTAGTAAACTTTGAGGCGCTCTTGCGTTAAAACTATTAATTTTACAAGAAAGAGGTAACCACATAAATTGTAGGAAATGTTCTCTAGTTTAATAGGTTATATTTTCAAAATACTGTTTTACCAATATGGCGACGCTAGTGGCAAAGATACGAGGCCGCAAGGTGGAAATTCGAAAACAACACGTCGAAATCTAAAAATCAATTTTCTAAATATACTGGATTTTAATAGTCTTATTTATAGGTCTAAAAAATGAATTGTCTTCCTTATAAGCCCTAAAAGAGACTGTTTTTTGACAAAAGTACCACAGTCAACTGTATACAAAATTTTACAGGAAGGGGCACCACCTAGAAAGGTGCGAAAAGATTCTGGTTCATCTCGTTCCATTCCACAGTTTCTTTTAGAACCGATTAGGGAAACAATTTATGAAATGTTCTCTGTAAATAATTTGCCTACTTTGAATACGTTATTTTTACGTCTAAAACAAAAAAATCCAACGGCTATAAATTTAAAACCATTAATAAAAGACAAACAATTATGGAATCCAGCTGTTTAGTTAAATAGAATAGAATATCTCGATTTAATTACAAAGTATCGACGAGAGGGCAGAAACATTCATTTTTTAGATGAAACCTGGTTCGGCACTCATAACATTTTAAAAAAATGTTGGACTGATGGAAGTTTAAAATGTAATGTAGATACTCCATCTCGAGGAAAAAGAATATGTATCTTACATTGATTGTGGTGGAGAATCAGATTGGCTAGAAGGAGCTCTCTTGCTGTATGCAAAGGATGTACGGGATAGTGGTGTGAACTACCACCAGGACATAGAAAGTACTTTTTTTGAAAAATGGTTTGAGAGTACATTACTACCAAAACTAAATGAAAATAGCGTAATAGTTTAAGATAATGCCCCGTACCATGCTCGGTTGGTACAAAAAAAACCAAATACCAATTCTACGAAATCAGTGATTCAGGACTTTCTAATGAAGAATGATATATTTTTAAAGAAAACTACACAAAAAAACAGTTGGTTGATTTTCAACCTAAATATGTTATCGACACCATAGCAATAAAACACGGCTTTAAACTTTTACGTTTACCACCCTACCACTGTATTTTGAACCCCACTGTTAAAAAATTATTCTCGAGCAAATAACTCTTCTTCTGTAATTGATGTAGTAAGAAATGCATTTAACTGGATAACTGTTGAAAACTGGAAAAATTCTATTTATCATGTAAAAAAAATCGAAGAGAAATATATATGAGATTTAACAATACAATTCAAAAAATTTAAATAAATTTGGATGCTACTGATGATGATAGTGATACTTCAGAACATGAAATTAGTGACTGTGAAAGTGATTTAGAAATATAAACGTTTTTAAATTCATTTACCTACATTTCCACAAAATAAATCTAGTGAAACATATTCTTTTTAAATTAATACTTAATAATTTTAGTCAGTTTTAATTTTCAATATATTTTTTAGTTGAACATGTTGTGTTTGGTAATAAAACCTTTGTTATTTTTTTTTTTAATTTTAATACAAGTTCTTTGCAATTTAGACCGCAAAAGGATCTTTGTAGAAATCAAATTTTAAAAATGATCTTTAACATTTGAACAAATAATACTCAACCTAAGCCGGCTCTGATCAGCATGTTGGCGAACGTTTCAAGAGGTTGTCAGACAATTGAGCTTTCTAGATTATCTTGCAATGGACTATAATGCTTTAGAAAAAGTTCTATAAGTGCCAGTAGTTTAAATTTAAATATAAATATGTTGAAGGTTTCTTCAACAGTCATGATTCTAGCATTACTCTGTATACAATTCTTTATTATTATTATTATTATTATTATTATTATTATTATTATTATTATTATTATTATTATTATTATTATTATTATTATTATTATTATTATTATTATTATTATTATTATTATTATCCATATATTAAAATGTTTCGCTTATTTGTTACTAATAATACTTTTGTTTGATTTTAGGCGAGGGTGTTAATGTTTCCAGAAGGAACAAGGAACTCAAGTTCGAAGCTATTGCCTTTCAAAAAGGGAGCATTTCACTTAGCTGTAGCCTCTCAGTGTCCTATTCAACCCATAGCTGTATCGAGATTTACATTTTTAGAAAATAATAAATTCGAAAGAGGTATAAAAAAATTAATAGTTCGTTTTTTGACCAGATTCAGCATTTTCATTTTAATTGGGTGATGGCATTCTTTAAATTTCATTTGTAAAGATTTTCTAGTTTGATTGTAATTTTAGAAAATATTCAAAATCTCTTCTAGAAAGTTCTAATATTATTATCAACACTCCTATTTCGATTTGGCAATCCGTTGGACGTCGATTAAATGCCTTGTATTTTAGCTAGAGGTGCACATTTTGAATATCTGCTCTGAAATGTACTACTTTTATGTCATAATTAGGCATTCCAATCAAAATGGTTGCCTTATGAAAATGACACACGAACCCCAATTTTTCTTTGTCTTCAGTGCTCTGTAATTGAGTTGATACGTGTTTGATTGCAATTTATGTTCTTTTTGTTACACGCGTTTTACTTTAATTACTCTAGTTCATAAAATGTCTTATAAATGTTTTTATATGACACTAAGGTTAAAGTTACGAGTATTAATAAAATCACATATAGGTACACCTTATTTTTGTTTAAAATCCCTCCTTAAAGCACACAGTTACTGTTATTACCATTGAGATAGAATAAAGAGGATATGACGATACTAAAGCTATATTCGGGCGGTCGGCTGGTTTAAATATATTTCATGCGGTTTGAAAACGGTTTGTACTATTCTCATTCGAGTAACCAAATAATGACGTCACGTTGAATTAGGTTTAAACCTCGTTTAAACCAGTTGCATCTGTTTTTGAAATATTTCATTAATGGTTCAAGGAAATACAAATGTCATTAATGTCAAAAATAGTATCGAACATCATAGAGCAAAGCATACATAATCAAATTAATGATAAAAAAGATGATTTATGATTAAAAGAAAAATTAGAAAATGCATAATTATGAAGGTTTATAATTTTAATAATTTTTGAAAACTTGATCCTGTAATTCTAAGTAACTGGTTAAAGTTGGATTCTAAATAACGATCTACTTTGCATAAAACTGGTAATATATTATCTGTTGCTAGAGATTTACAAACTCACAAATCGTTAACTGTCAGTGACATCACTGTTTTGAAATCATCTATTTGAGCGCTTTCAAAATATATGATGTAGTATTAAGACTGGTTCTAAAAGTTGTTAAAAATATTTTTAAACCAAAGAGACTGCTCGAATATGGCTTTAATGTCCGCACCTTTGCATTACACTTTCACGTCATGTGTCAAACTCGAGCCAGTGGAGCTAATAAATGCCATTTTGATTACACATTTCCCTCAGTTAGGCATCTAAATGCGTCCGTCATATCACAATGTTTATATCGTCTCTACTTCATTCTATCTCGATGGTTATTACAGATTTGTAAACGATCAATTATGTGTCAAAAGCACAAAACACTTATCCTGTCAAATTCATCAGGCAACCATTTGGACAGGACGTTGATTTTTTTTATTAAAATAATAAAAAAAATTAACATCCTGTATCTCAGTAATGACAAAACGAATCACACACTGCATACAGTTGCAGTAGGTCTCTTAAGGGAATTGACTTTCCGAAGTATTTATTTTGGTAAATGTTTATTTTTAGGTAAAATAAAAATAAGAATTTTACCAGCCATTCCGACTGAGGGGTGTACAACTGGCGACGTTACTAGATTGAGCGAAGAAACTTACAAGATTCTTTCTGAACACGTAGATCAAATTTCAAATCCGACGAATTCATAAAAGAAACATATTTTTTCTTTAGAAATAATTCTTATTGCTACTATTTTTACCTACTTAGTATTTATTGTACTTATAACTTTAGTTTTTTAATATTTTTGTTAAGATTACAAATAATAAAGAATTTTATAGAAATTAGTAATCGTTTTATTCAGATATTTTATTTTTTAATCAAACTAATTTTACCACAGTAAAGTAAAATTAGTTTTAACAAATAAAAAACTAATTTTATTTAAGAAAATCTAATTTAAATAATAAAAACTAGTTTTAACAAAGTAGAAGATAGTTTTAATAAAACAAAGTAAAAATTGGCTGTAACAAAAATAGAATGCGCGGATTATATATTTATTTAAAGACGTCTTATTTAATGCTTATTTAAGGCTTCATAAGACCATTATAAGCCATTAATAAGACGTCTTAAAGACGTCTTATTTAAGGCCTCATAAGGCCATTATAAGCTAGTAATGAGCCGTCTTAAAGAAGTCTTATTGATGTCTTATTTAAGGCTTCACAAGACCATTACAAGCTATTAATAAGTCGTCTTAAAGACGTCTTATTTATGGCTTATTTTAAGCTCTACAGACCAATATAAGCCATTAATAAGACGTCTTTCAGGAAATACCAGACGTCTTAAAGACGTCTCGAATGTCTTATGCTAGACGTCTTAAAGACGTCTTTAAGACGACTTTGTGCTATCTGGGATGTAGCGAATGCAATGTTTTTGACGACATGTCACACCGTATTAAAGACTGCAATTTGTCTAAAAACATTTGGGATTGGTGTAAACAGCGTATTTTAAACAAGTTTTTGCAATGTAATCAAAATGGAGACCCTAAAGATATTTTTCAAATTGAATATTCTAATAGTTTAGATACAAATGTTTGGATATGGTTTTATAGCGCTCTATTATATAATAACTTAGAAGGCTTTAAAGATTTAACAGAATTTATTAATATGTTAAGAAGAGACAGAATGTTAAAAATTTCATTAGGCACAATAAGAAAATTTTCAAAAAAAAATGTTCGCCTTTTAAGGCGTTTTATTCTGTGATATTCTTTTAGTAGATGTAAGTTAATTTTAGTGTACAATACTGTAAAGTTTTTTGTATAATAAAGTGTTAAAAAAAAACAAAGTAAAAGCTATTTTAATAAGGTAAAACTAGATTTAACAAAGAAAAAACAAGTTTTAAATAAATAAAAATTAGTTTTAACAAAAAAACTATTTTTAAAGGTAATACTAGTTTTAATAAATAAAAGTAGTAGTTTTAACAAAGTAAAAACTAGTTTTAACAAATTATACTAATTTTACAGAAAACTATTTAATAAAGTAAAATTAGTTTTAACAAAAAAACCAGTTTTAATAAGAAATCTAGTTTAAACAAAGTAAAACTTGCTTAACAAAGGAGAAATTAGTTTTAACAAAGTTAACTAATTTTACCGCAAAAAACTATTTGAGAAAGTAAAATAATTAGTTTTAACAAAGAGAAAAACTAGTTTTAATAAAAAATCTAGTTTAAACAAAATAAAAATTAGTTTGAACAAAGTAAATACTAGTTTTAACTAAGTAGAAGCTAGTTCTAACAAAGTAAGACTAGCTTTTACAAAGACAAAAATTAATCAAAGTAAATTGTGTTTTAACTAAATAAAAACTAATTTAACCCAAAAAAGATACGTGCGCGGATTGTTATAGCAAAGTAAAAACTAGTTTTAACAAAGTAAAAACTAGTTTTAACAAAAAAAAACAAATTTACAGTGTGGTTCATTTGAAAAATAAATATTTATGGCATTTTCGGTAAAACCAGAAATCATCCATATTGTTTAAGTATAGGTATTAATTAAAAATAATGCCTAGTACGTTTGTTCCAAATTTTATTCAAATCGCTTAATAAACAAAAGGGATATTAATGTGGTCTTGGGCCATTTAAAACTGACCATATAAAAATAGTATTTGGGCCCTTTACCTTTTTTTCCTTCAGATAAGAATGCCATTCAGAAGTTCTTTAAAACTTGTGTAAAAATCATCAGATAAAATAAACACTCAAATAAAACCCTTCAAAAGTCGTTTAGAAACTAAATCATTAAAATAATGTATTTGACGTTTTAAGAATGACAGCAATATTGAAAAAATGTATGTGGTTTCACAGTTGACAAACATATTCTCTCCCGTTAAATCAGTACCCGTGCCACAGTGCATGAAATGAACTCTGTAAAAAAAGTATTGCATTTTAAAACCATTGTTATTTAAAGCACTGAAGTTAAACCGAAAATTCTGAAAATCAAAGTGTTCTCAGTTGGAAGAGATTATAAAATAAAATCGAAACCGCAAGTCGATCAGAGTTTTATTGTTAAATGGATTGTTATAACAGCTCTTTTTATTAAATTATGTGAACAGTTGTAGTTAAAGTATAGGATTTGACTCGCATAGTGTAGGTATATCACAATCTGATTCCCGTATAATATTTTATACTAGTTAAAATTTGAACATATGTATTATAATCATTTAAAAATAAATAGTAAGTATCCCATAAAACAGATATTTTGCAAACAAGTAACGCCCCAGCTATTTTCAGTATCTTGTTATAAGTTTCCGAAAAACAATTATGTACAAAATAATCTATGACGTCATTAAATTGAAAAAAAAAAACATCTGCTCACTCCACACGCCCACCAAATAAATAAATAAATGTTTTATGACCCCAATTAATTTACATTACACATTATCAGTCTGAAGCCTGAAGTGTAGGCAACCATTAATACCAAAATAAATATAATTATTATACTTATAGCAGTGGCGGTATGTAAAAAATGGTATAATTGTATCAATCATGTATCTATTATCTATATATAGGGTGTTACTATATTCGACTGAAAAGGTTCTACCCCAGAGAGATCTCGTTAATTAAAGAATTTTTGTATAGGAATATGAAGTCTTAAAGGGCTTAGTTACCGAGGTACAGGTTATTAAAAGTATTAATATCAAAATACAAAATTTGTCTTAAATCAAAAATGTCTTAAAATATTTTTTTCAAATTTCGTGACCAAGAAAGTAATATTTTGACGTAAACTAACTTTTGAAATATTTAATCAGTGGCGCGCTATCAGGATTAGTGGCAACTTTTATCCCCCTATTTTTACACCGCTGGGTCATTTTTTTTAATTAGCTGTTCATGTTTAGTTAAAAAAGTAATAGGTAACCTTTTATGGAACTAAACTGAACGTGTTGTAGAAATTTGCTTCTAAACAAAAATCTGCAAGTACTTAGATAATATGTAACCCTCAATATTTTGAAGTTATAATCTAATAGATACGAATCATAAGAAAAAATATATAACTGCATTATTGAATTATGGAAAATTTTAAATTTTAATTTTATACTTATAACACCCTGTATCTCGGCAACTAAGACCTTTAAAGGCTCATGTTCTCGTATCAAAATCCATCAATTAATTAGAGCTCTCTGGTCGGTGTAGTAATGCCTTGTACACACGGTACTCCAATCAACATAAACATAGCCTAAATTGTTTTGTATAATTTAATTATTTTTACAGTAAATTTAAAACTTAATCCTCACCTCTGTTGGAAATACATCCAAAATATCAGGCTAGCCCAGACCTAAGTGCCAAACCAATCAATCAATCAATCATATCTATAATAATTAATTAATTCAATTAGTAATAATAATTTAATTAATAATCCAAATATTAAAAATAAAGCTCTCCGAGAATAAAAAGTTCAATATAACCGTGTTGGTTAAGTCATGTCTTTATCTTTCACGCATAAAACAATAAAGTTTTTAAAACCGCACTCAATAACAAATGTGACCAAGTTTCTAGAAGAACTGAGGCAAATTGGTAGAGAAAGTGCATAAATATCAGCGCCAGCTCTTTTTGTCGTCGGTAGATCATCAATTCATCTCATACAAGCCCGTTTACGGGCTGAGATTGCTTTATACGGCATCTCACAGTTTGCATCAGATTGCTTCCGACACCAAACTGTAAAAAATTTCATTTTAATAAATATGCACTAGCTTGCAGTGAAAGTACTCAGTTATTACTTTTATTATCTCAAGTAGTGTAGTTATGTTATGTTGAGAATGGGGTATTAACACACTGCGAACTAAAAGATCTATTATGCCCCCTTCTGTCGCTAATACATCAAGAAAATAGTCTCGATACCTATAACTACCCTTCGAATCCCATCTTCTCAAGGAAGTGTAGGATTTTAAGTGGCTTCGAGTTAGGTAGTGCCTTCTTCTATTTGATATGCTCCAAAGTATGCTGCTACTCATTTATTCAGAATGTGAATGGAGATTTCAGTCTCCTTCTTACAGAATGTGCACTCACTATCTTCTACTACTTTCAGTTTACTAAGGTGTCATTTGAGTCGGCAATGCCCAGTAAGAATCCCTATTACAATGCGTAGCCTGTTCTTGCTAAGGCAGATACAGGCTTCCGATCTTTTCTGATTATATTCACCCAGAAGTATCTTAGCCCTAAGAAATTGTTCCAATTATCGGTTCTTCTACTGCCCAAATCCTTTTCCTAATATTGTGTTTTTGCTGATACCGCAGAACGGACGGCTCAGGTCCCACAAAGGGTGACTGAGCCCCTTTCTTGCAAGACTCTCTGCAATCTCGTTACCCTGTACCCCGCGATCCAAATGAGAGTAACTGTATTTTCTCGCCTAGTTGATTTAATTACGTATGAACTTAGCGCTTTGATGGCTGCTTGGCTTTTGGACATGATGATAATCTCTTGTCTGTGATGTTAAATTGGATATACTTCTCAATGGCGTGATTTTCCCAAATTATACCCAAACTTTTAGAGTTTCTGGTTCTATGTCCATATACTCCTATTCCAATATGGTTTTGGAACTATCCGTATACTACGGAATAGCTTGTCTTTCGGTTGCAAACACGATGAATTCTTGACTCCATTCTTTCTTGCAACCCAGCTCTGTGGTTTTAAAGTTTTTCAAAAAACTGTACTTCTTCAGCTTTTCATCTTGGGGCATGTCCCAGGTATCTTCGGACCTGAACCTAATAGATTTTCTTCTGAGTACTCCGTTCCGGATCGTTCTATATCTTGTCCTTTTTGCTACATTTTATATCAT